ATGACTCATAATGTTACATAATAGTTGCCAAAATCCCAGAGAATATGACATGCTTTACGTTCAGTGCTCTTACAATTATAAGAATGATAACAAGATGGCATGGTCGTTAAAATTTAAAGAAACAACAACACTGGGGAGTATCGTGATGCAACAACACCGTGTTGTTGCATCAAGATGGCCAGACTTCCGGTGATAGATTTTCGTACGATATTTTGTTTCCCCAATTAAACCCATTTCTAGGACGAGTTGCTCAATAACTTTACACGTGCAGTTAGCGCACGATCTATATTCAAAGAAACTGTCATTAGTATACATGTACCATCAGCAAGAAGCAATAAGTTCACGGTTTTAGTTTCTCACTATTGATGCAACAACACCAAACTGAAGATGCAACAACACTCCTCTAGATTTGAGCAATGATGCAGCAACACCAATTAATAGTATAATTTCAGAAGACCGTAAATCTCGAGAGGAACAGATTTTTAAATGCTACTATTGCAACACCGTTTCCCATTAGCCTACCCATATTTGCGTTCTTCTCAAGGCATTCAAAATACACGTCCTGCGGGCGAAGATCCTTTATATGTTTTTTCAAAAATTTATACTTTTACATATTATAATGTACTGGACGTTGTTCAATCGCCTTTAACATGGTAACCCAATCTATTTTCATAAACCACTGTTCTATAGCTTGATGACCCTGACTCCAGTTAGTATCATTCAAAATGGTGGACAAACATCTTTCGTTCTCGGTAAACATAATGAGCTATTTGATATTATCTGTCATCCATCTGTGGAACAGTGATAAACTAGTAGATGCACGTTACCATTGTTTATCAAATTATAACTAAAACAGTTTAACTGTGACATTCGTGAGCTTATGTTGATGGATGATTGCTTCATCTATGATATAATATGATATGATTCTTTATTTCCTCCAATTTGGAGAGCCAGCGTGTAAAAACGTCTAATTGACTTTATTAGAGAGGCCGTTTAGTTACACGTTTAATGGAAATCTTGCACGACGCACATGTAGAATTATTGCTCTCTTTGGATTCCTTCTCTCCGACTGAGTAAAAAGGTAAACAAAAGTGATAAGATTTAGGGCTCAAAAAGGTAAATTGATAGGGGCACAGTTATCCCAGATATCCCGGGCCCTCGGGAAATATCATATTGTCTCTCGGAATAAAACCAATATTGAATCCCTCTCAGTAAATAACCGTTATATAATAGCATTGTATAACTGCAATATCATTAAACCAACACCCATCCTATACAACTCTTGAGAACGATGTATAACTCCTGGATAGCGTAAACTCCTGAGCAGCGTATACAACTCTTCAACTTGATATATGACATCATACTTTGGATGGGATTATAAAGGATATACAATATACAATTGTAGACCTCTCTTGAGGTCAACTGGCAAAATTGTATACCGATACTGTAATCCTTGAAAGTTCGGAGGTCGAGGTCAACAGTACTCTCAGGGTTTACTGTTGAGGTATACACTTTGGCCAGTTGACCGAATAGAGAGGTTAACAATTGTTTGTTAGTCCGAAGAATATAATAAGTTGAAGGATATAATATACAATTGTAGATCTCTCTTAAGGTCAACTGGCAAAATTGTATACCGAGACTGTAAACCGAAAATCTACTGTTGACAGAGACCGAAGGTCGAGGTCAACAGTAGTTTCAAGGTTTACAGTCGAGGTGTATGATTTTGACGGTTGATCGAATGGAGAGGTCTACAATTTTTTTGTTAGTCCGAGTAAACTAATAATACACATAAGACGACAATCGTCAATCGGCATGGCTTCATTTCACAACGTTTTCTCCGAACCACGTTAGCAATATTTTTTTTAGAAAATATGGAGACAGTGCAAGTAGCTTAAAGGGGCAATAAGGACTGTAGAGAAAATAGGAAAGTTTTTTCATTTTTTCTGAGCTATCAAGGCAACATTTGGTTTAACATCTTCTTTGACATACCTATTTTCTTAAAATGTATGGATAAATTATCAATTTTAGCATTAAGAAGTGTAAATTCAGTTCAAAGCTTCAAAAAGGGGACTTCCACTTTTATATTTTTAAGATCCACCATGTTTCAAGAGGAATATCAGCTAAAATAATGTTTATCTAGGGGGTTTCTTTGTAGATAATAAAAATAGATGTTAGTCTTGATGGAATATCCAAACTTAAATATATTTTGACACTGGTCCATGATCGTTGAATGACCCCTCTGCACTAATTATTGCACCTTTAACTATGTATTTGGCACATCAGTTCGTACTCTTTAGTGAATTAATGTTAACTTTAAGTTTCTATTTGTATTTTTGCTATACTTGTCGCCTAGTAAAGTCATTTTCATCAACGTTTACAAAGTGTCCGTCTTCCATGTTATTTTGTGACGTCATGAAACTTTTTTTCAGAAGTAGCGGTCAACAGTACCTAGTAGCGGTCAACAGTACATAATTTTGACCGCTAACCACCCAATCAGAATCGAATATTTCAGTTGAGGTACTAACAATACATTTTGTTGCCCGCTCATCAACCAATCAGAATTGAGTATTTCAATTGAGGTACTAACAACACAAAATGACTGATATCTGTTGTCTTTCCAAAATTTAATTAGTTATTTGTAAGCAATTTCCATACGGTAAATCAAGGGCATTTAATTTAGAAAATGTATAATCTTTATTTTTCAGATACAATATCAATGAGATTGCCACCCGGGGATTCTGTACTTTATTTAGTTTGCCTTGTATATCCTTTTAACTTTGATATAGACAAAGAAACCAAACAAAATACGTTTCGTTCATGGACCACTGACTCACGCGTTTTATTCATGTCCCGACCTACACCTGTAAACAGAACATAAAACAGTTTCTCTTGTTGTTCAATGATACATTATATTGGCGTTTTTGCATCAACACATTGGTGTTGTTGCATCATCGATAAGAAACAGAGTGGTGTTGTTGCATCAATAGTGAGGAATTAAAACCACGAATTTATCGCTTCTTGATGATGCTACATGTATACCAATGACAGTTTTTTAAAATATAGATCCTGCGCTAACTGCATGTGTATGATTATTGAGCAACTCGTCCTAGAAATGGGTGTAAATTGGGAAAACAAAACATCGTACGAAAATCTATCACCGGAAGTCTGGCCATCTTGATGCAACAACACGGTGTTGTTGCATCACGATACCCCCCAGTGAACAAGAAATATTGAAGAAATTGTTCATCAACAACACTAACAATGAGTATCTTGAATTGTATTAGGCAGGAGGATGTCCCGGAGGATGTCTGGGACACTTTTTTTTTTTTTTTTTTATTAAAAAAACATATTGACTTCTGTAATATATTCTTACAAAGTATATTTTAAACATTCACTCCATTTCACAGACATCCTTCTTCATTCATTCCATATCTTATTATCATTTTCTTTACAGTATTTTAAATACATTTCGAATTTTCTGTACACTGGTAGTTCTCGTAGCAATTTTTGATTATACAAGAAGTATTTTGCAATAATTATAATCATATTTTCGTATTTGCTCCATTTTTTAGAGCCAAAGAGCACATTGTTTAAATCAAAATATTTGAGTTTTTTCAAAATGTGTTGCTTAACACTGTTCCAAAACTGATTTGTATATTCACAAAGATAAAATAAGTGATCAATCGTTTCAAATGCAGTATGACAGAATTCGCACATCGGCGATTGTATTACATTATATTTAAATAGATCATTGTTTGTATATAAAATGCAATTTATAAGTTTAAATTGAAAAGCCCTGTGTTTAGAATACGTTAAAATGTAATGATAATACGTATAATAAAAATTCCAGTCTTCTTCGTTTAATTTATATTTTATACTAAGCTTTCCTTTTGCTGTTGGTTGTTCAGCAATGTGTGACAATAAAATAGAATACAATAACTTTGATGTACATTTGTTAAACTGAAATTTTTTTTTTCCATGTACAATATCAAAATTACAGTGTTTTACATCTAAATTGACATTATTTTCAAATACATTATTTCTTATAAGCCAAGTTCTTGGGATGGCTTTTAAAATTCCAAACCATTTCAGCATGTATACATCAGATAGACCTGTTTGTACCTTAATCTGGTGCCATGTTTTAATTGATCCATCTATAAATAAATCTTTAATTTTTATTATGCCTCTATTGAAAAATTCTTTCCAGAAGAGTGATTTATTTTGTATCGTGATTTTTTTGATATTCCATATTATTTCCTCTGGTATATCGGTTTGTGAACGGGGCAATTCCATAAATGTTTGAAGCATGTGTATATAATACTTTGGCATATCAATATTCAATTTAGTTATATCATACTTGCAATTCAATACAAATAAGCCACCTTTTTGACGAAGGTAATAATTTGGAATGACAGTCCATGGAGAATTCTTGTCTGTATCTTTAATTAATTTCTGAACCCACTTTAGTTGGGCACTTTTAATTTTTGTTTTTAAATCACTCATTCTCAAGCCCCCTTCTTTGAAGTCGGAAATTAATGATTTCCTCTTAATTTTATCCCTGCCATTCCATAAAAATTTAAACACAATATCATTGATTTCTTTAAGGTATCTATCTGGTGTATCTATGACCGAACAAATAAAATTGAATTTTGATAACCCAAATGTTTTCACAATTTGTATTTTCCCTATTATTGTTAGTTGTCTAGTTTTCCACAGGTTAAGAGTTTGTTTTAAGTGATTTATCACGACTCTAAAATTTTGCTCATTTTTCTTGGTTTCATCATGGTTAAAGAAAACACCCAAAACCTTTATTTCTTTAACTTGTTTAAGTGCACCAATTTTCCAAATTTCATTTTTTGATTTGCCAATAGTGAAGAGTTCAGTTTTTTCTAAATTTGTTTTCAACCCACTACAATTTTCAAAGTCTTTTAGCACTCTCATAGCTTGTTGTACATATTCTTTATCCCTTACAAAAAGTGTCATGTCATCTGCGTAAATACTGTCTGGGACACTTGAAAAATTGCTAAATTAGATAGACGCCAATAGGCCCAAAAACAGAAAATTGACAAATTAAGTAGCGCCAAATTAAAGACAAGTACAGTAAGTCATTACCTGTTTTCTCTGCTGTTTTCACTCCACTGACCTCACTCGTTTTGAAAAATGGTCCAAAGTACATGCAATTTTTGTGTCTACTCTCTATTTTCTTAATTTCCTATTTTTCATTTTTGCATTTTCAGTTTACATTCTGAATTTTAAATCCCCAAAATATTCTAGCCTAATAGTGAAAGGCCTACTGTCAGACTGTAGATACACTAAATTTGGCTCCCGTTTTAATTTGACGGATTCAGAAAATCTGCAAAATTAAAAATCCATCAAATTTCAGTTTGGAATTTTTGTCCAATGCACTTCCCAAATGAAACTGCTGGGACACTTTTCCTGTGAACATATCATCATTTCAACATTATTCCAAAAGAAATACAGAAAATATCTTAGTAAATACATGTCCTAATGACATAAACATAGACAAAAATTAAACTTCAGTCCTGAATCCACCAAATTAAATAGCCACCAAGACCAATATTTGAAATTGAGCAAATTCGTCAAATTAAATAGCGTCAAAATGAGTGTATCTACAGTAATATGAAACAGCTTAATGTTTGCCAATCATGCATTCATATTTTATGTTTTCAAAACAAAATGTTGAGAAAACCTTTATCAAAACTAAGTCTTTGATTTTTTCAAAGGTCAGAGCCATTTCAGATGCTTATTTTTGACAACCACAACACCACTGCTAATGCAAACTGCCGATGTCAAAAGAGTGTACTCTTTAAAGGTTCTAGACACAGTATCATACTCAGAGACAGTTCGAGTGCATTCAAGAGTTGGTGTGTTGCCATTCATGTTCCTGCCACCCAAAAGCATGATCTTAGAGCCCTTCACAAATGGCCAAGGTTTGTAGAATGTAGAACCTAAGGTTGAAATCAAGGTCCATTGCTTAAATGCAGGATTGTAGTTCAAGATCATCTCCTTTGGGGAAAATACAAAGATTTCCTTCTCAAAGCAAACGGCAGAATGGGCTGCCAAAGAATGTGGTGCATCAGGTCCAAGGGTGATCTTACCCTGGATGGTATCGTAAATTTGCAAGAATTTACTCCCAATTCTAGGGCCAGGCTGCAATCCCCCAATTATGTAAATGTTGCTTTCTAATGCAAGGGAACGATGATAATGTACGGGATGAATCAAGGCCTGTGCAACATCTGGTGGAGCTTGCCATGTGTCTGCTTCATGGTTGTAGAAATCAATGACACTTCTCACACCAGAAGAATCACTACCACCTATCAGATACAAGAAGTCACCACACAAAGTGAGTGTATATTCTTTCAATTCTGTATAATTGCCGTGTCGATTTGGTCGACTTTCACACTCAATCCAAATATTTCTTTTCATTTCTCCCAATTTACAGTTGTATAATTTCATTCCATCAAATGCATACATAGTATTACCAATCAAACAAGCTTGCTTCCTTGCAGCACTCTGGTGAGGAAGGACAACTGTTCTAATGTTGAGTGGTTCAGCATGAGTATCAGAAACTTCATTTTCAGATATATTTTGATTGTTGACTGGATTCAAAATGCACGGATAAATATTGCAGTTCCTAGGGCTACATTTGTAGTAATGCTCCTCATGTTGATAGCAAGGTGTTATCTGATGACGGAGTGCAGCAACAACATGATCCTTCAGGCAGGGGAACTCATCTGTGAACTCATGTTTGTTTATCTCATCACAAAGAACTTTGGGATCAATGAAGCAGAATCTCACACATTCAAATAATTCTGCAGCATGTCTCTTTCTTTCACTTGGATGATGAAGAATCCAACGTGCTATTGAATGAAACACATTTTCTTCTTTTGTCACATTGAGAACATCATCTTTTAAGTATCTGACAAAACTGTTCATATCAAGTTCCAATAAACCAGACGATTCCCAAACATTCTCAAAGTTTTTGGTTGCATGTTCATATGCCAGACGCATCAGTGATTCGTCTTTGATATACTGGGTGAGATTTAATATGTCCAGGCAATTGGTATCATTGATGTGCTCTGAGAGAAATTTCCCTAAATTGTCCTTCATACCATTGTCAATCTGTAGCATATCTATGGCTTTAAACATATCAAGGGCCTCATTGATTTCATACGTAGGGTTGATAGTTGAGTAATCACAGTACAAATGATTCAAAATGTTCTCCATCACTTTGCTTGATACATCTTTCATTACAATTGTTTTTTGTGAAGTCTCACTCATTCCATTTGAGAACATTGATTGAAAGTACTGGGAGTTGGCGGATAGGATGACTTTATGACAGTTGAACTGTTTTCCTTCTACCTCCAGTGTGATGTCACAGAACAGATCATTGTGCCATAAGTCATTTAGCCTCTTCCTGAAGTTAGAGTTGAAGTTTTCTTTGTTTGTAAAGGAGGAACCTGGTCGGTTCTCACTAGCGTCTTCTCTGTACAAGCTATCATCTCCATCTGAAGACATTGTTGGCATAATAATAAGCTTACCACCTGAAATTATAAAGATTGTATGATAAATAAATAAAAAAGTAAAATGGGTACATATGAAACTGATGGTAAGGCTTTAATATTTGTGGTACTAGTTTTTAGTAATTGGGGATCATTGTTGATGTAAAAAAGACACACAGTGATAAATATTGCATTTTGAAGACCAAAATGGTCACAATGTAAGTTAAATGCCCTAACCCTAATCAGATCTTGGCACTAGTCTGCTTTTGCATCTGTAAAAATTTCAAGTTAGTTACCCTGGAAATTTGATAACAAGATTATGATTCATGTGGTGCCCGCTCACGTGTACGACCGCCTGCCCATCAGCACAAGACGACGACAACATAGCACTTTTTGTGAAGTGTGATAAAAAATTAAGGTGTTTATTTGACAATTCAGTTTTGATATATTGAAGATATCCTATCGCTATCAACTCGTGCTGAAGATCAATGGTTGGAGTTATGTCTGTACCAATTTCGCTGATGCATTTCCAGGAAAACTATATGAGGGACTGATTATTTTCAGGGTTGTTCATTTGTATGAAAATCTTAACTGACTCGAATGTCTCAGTACTGAAGTATGGGCATGCTGAAAGAATCTTAAGGCAGGCATCTTAAATTTTCTTTTATGAAAACTTGTCTGTTTAAGTCTTGTCTACAAGTTTCCAGCCAAATTATTCAATAGATTAATCTGAGATTTTTAGTGATGTATGTCACGTTTAGAACTGATTAGTCTTTTGTCCAATCATCAGAAGCCTTCGAGATATGTAGGTACATGTAGAACAACAAAATATCTTAAATGGTGCATATTTCCCAAAGTTATGCCCACAGAGTACAGAATATGAGAACAGAATTATGAACAAAAGAATTTACATAAGTTTGGTAATTGCAGAGTTTTTATCTAATAAAATCATTATATACACACAACCCAATTGAAAAGAAAAGTGAAGAGGCATTTCTCAATCTAGTGAGGTGAATTCAAAAAGATGTTTTTCAGTTAAATTTTGTACTTAATTGTCGAACTCTATGACTCAAACTGTTAGTCACTACTTGTTTTTCATGTCTTGTGTTGATGCTGGGTTCATTTAATTTGAAAAATGGTCCAAAGTACATGTATTCTGATTTGTGAGTGCCTTCTCACTATATTAAATTCATTCCATGTTTCTCATTTTTGCATTTTTAGTTTATATTCTGAATATCAAATCCCCAAAATAATATAGCATGATAATGATAATATGCAACAGCTTAATGTTTTCAAATTATGCATTCTGTTGAGAAAACCGTTGTTAAAAACAGTCTTTGATTTTTTCAAAGCTTCAGAGCCATTTCAGATACTTATTTTTGACCACTGCCACAGCACCGCTAATGCAAACTGCAGACGACAAGAGAGTGTACTCTCTAAAGCTTCTAGACACAGTATCATACTCCGATACAGTTTGAGTGCATTCCCGAGTTGGCATGTTCCTGCCACCCAAGAGCATTATCTTAGAGCCTTTCACAAATGGCACAGGTTTGTAGATTGTAGAACCTAATGTTAAAATCAAGGTCCATTGCTCAACTGCAGGATTGTATTTCATGATCATCTTGTTTTGGGAAAATGTAAAGATTTCCTTCTTACAGCAAACAGCAGCATGGACTGCCAAAGGATGTGGTGCATCAGGTCCAAGGGTGATCTTACCCTGTATGGTATCGTAAATTTGCAAGAATCTACTCCCAATTCTATGTCCAGGCTGGGATCCTCCAATTATGTAAATGTTGCTTTCTAATGCGAGAGAACAATGATTGTATACTGGATGAATCAAGGCCTGTGCAACATCTGGTGGAGCTTGCCAGGTGTCTACTTCATGGTTGTAGAAATCAATAACACTACTTACACCAGAAGAATTCCTACCACCTATCAGGTACAAGAAGTCACCACACAAAGTGAGTGTATATTCCTTCAATTTTGTGTCATTGCCATTTCGATTTGGTCGACTTTCACACTCAATCCAAACATTTCTTTTCATTTCTCCCAATTTACAGTTGTATAATTTCACTCCATCAAATAGGTACATCATATTACCAATCAGACAAACTGGCTTCCTTGAAGAACTCTGATGTGGGAGGACAACTGTCTTTATGTTGAGTGGTTCAGCATAAGTATCAGAAACTTCATGTACCCACATTTTTTGATCGTTGACAGGATTCACAATGCATGGGTAAATATTGCAATTCCTAGGGCTGCACTTGTAGTAATGTTCCTCATGTTGATAGCAAGGTGTTATCTGATGATGGAGTGCAGCCATGACATGATTCCTAAGGCAGGGGAACTCATCCATGAACTTGTGTTTGTTTATCTCATCTACCAGAACTTTGGGATCAATGAAGCAGAATCTCACACACTCAAATAATTCTGCAGCATGTCTCTTTCTTTCACTTGGATGATGAAGAATCCAGCGTGCTATTGAATGAAACACATTTTCTTCTTTTGTCACATTGAGAACATCATCTTTTAAGTATCTGACAAAAGTGTTCATATCAAGTTCCAATAAACCAGACGATTCCCAAACATTCTCAAAGTTTTTAGTTGCATGTTCATATGCCAGACGCATCAGTGTTTCATCTTTGATATATTGGGTGAGATTTAATATGTCCAGGCAATTGGTATCATTGATGTGCTCCGAGAGAAATTTCCCTAAATCTTCCTTCATACCATTGTCAATCTGTAGCATATCTATGGCTTTAAACATATCAAGGGCCTCATTGACTTCATACGTTGGTTTGATAGTTGAATATTAACAGTACAAATGATTCAGTATGTTCTCCATCACTTTGCTTGATACATCTTTCAATACAATTGTGTTCTGTGAAGTCTCGCTCATTCCATTTGAGAACATTGACTGAAAGTACTGAGAGTTGGCGGATAGGATAACTTTATGACAGTTGAACTGTTTTCCTTCTACCTCCAGTGTGATGTCACAGAACAGATCATTGTGCCATAAGTCATTTAGCCTCTTCCTGAAGTTAGGGTTGAAGTAATCATTGCTGGTTTTGGAGGAACATGGGAGACTTGGGGGGTTCTCATCAGGTTCTCTATCCAGGTCACTATCTCCATTTGAAGACATTGTTGCCTCAATAAATTTAGCAGCTGAAATTATAAAATTGTAAAGTAAATAAAAAAGTAAAAGCAACCAAGGCGTAGCAAATCCCATCTAACAGCCATGGCTGCCATCTTAGAAAATGGCAACCTATAAGCCAGTGACACAAGAGTGTGTTGTATGGTTCGAAGTAATCACATAAACCTTCAACAAAATTGCTCCATTCGTTTTCCAAGGAAAAAATGAAAGATTTAGGCCATCTTTGGCTGGCACTCACTAACCAAATTGTGAAAAGAAAGTGTAACAAGTATCATGCATCTTATTAAATCATAAACAAAATTGCTCTATTACTTTTCGAGTTATAGTAAAAACATAAAATAACACACATAAAAATTTCAGCCATTTTTCAAAATGGATGCCTAGTAGCCAAATTATCATAACCCAGTGCGTCATGTTCATTAGAATTTACATATCAAATATGAAAAAAAAAATTTAAAAATAATTAGATGTTAACTTAATTCAGTTCCTATACATTTTTTGCATTTAAAATGCACTTATGTTGCAGTTGTACATGTTGTGTCTAAAATACTGTAAAACTGACACTAAAAATGGCGGCCGTTTTGAAACTTGTGGCAATTTTGAAAACCGGCTTTTGAGAAAATTTGAACTCACATTGGGCATAGACTTATAAAATATGAACAATATTTGGCCAACGCTATTTCATTCATTGCCCGGACAAACAGACGTACATACAGATGGACAGACAGAGCCGGTTTCTATATCCCCCAGAACTTCGTCCAATGAGATAAGTAGTATTAAGAAAATGTCATATGGAAGTAAGGTTTCATATTTGTGGCACTTGTTTGCATAGTAATTGGGGATCATTGTTATAAAACTTCCAAGCTTGGTGTTTATTTAACAATTCAATTTTTATATCTTGAAGATATCCTATCAACTTTAAATCTTACCTTTTTGACCTTGAAAAAGTCATTGAAGGTCAAATCTTAAATATAAAGTCAGATTAAACTTCTGAAACGTGTAGATGATTTTGAAAAAAATTGGAAGTCAGTCTAAACAGTATTTGTTAAGTTATTGGAAGTTGTAAGAATTTGTTACAGACGTCAACCACCAACTGCCGTCAAAAAAATGGAGACCATAACAATATATCATCACTTTTTGGTGGTGACATAAAAAATGATGCAAGCAATGCACATATTTCTAACTTCAATCGATTCTGAACACCACCGGAAACTTTCTCCAAATGACAAACAGATGGGGCTGTCTCAAATTGCAGTAATAAACACTTCAATCTTTAAAACGACTAGTACTGTACTCCCGGTAATTTTCGCGCGCTACTACATTTTGCTCTTTTTGCGAATTCTGGAAAATTCACGAAATATAATAGCTCATCCCCAAAGTGTCAGAGGTCAAGGTGCTTAGAGTATTCACATTTCAAATATGAACAAAATCGCTCCACTACTTTTGGAGTTATAGTAAAAAACTTTAAAATACAAATCGGGCCAACAGTATTTGAGTTATTGCCTGGACAGATAGATGAACAGATGGATGGACGGACTGACATACGTAGGTAAGGACAGAGGCGTTCCCTATATAGGTAACACCCTAAATAAAATATGAAAAATAATTCATACCTCAATCTTGCTATTCTGGACAGATAATACTGCAAATGTAAGACCATTGCAAAATTCCTAAACTAGCAGTCGAGCGCCTTATTTAGCCAATGGACCAATCAGACTGCGAGACACATAAGCAATGGCCATGAAGATTTGAAAGGGGAATTTCATCTTTATAACCTGGTTTTTATAATCTTCTAATAGTAGAACTTCCCACAAGCATGGGCTTGAAAGCCCATGCCACAACCTAGTTGAACAAGTTAAACCCAATATAAAGCTTTTTTTATTTACCTGAATTTTCCTGGAGCCGTTACTGGGTTTAACTTCCTAGCTAAATATTCATGAATATGACATTCTAGATCGATTGAAATCAATTTTCCTCGATAATGTGCAATGATGATGTGTGTTTCTATTGAAAGCCCATGACATACAGTGGGAAACATAAAAAATTACTATAGCTATGAAAATGACATGCTGTCGTACATGTAATAAATTCTTACCTCAGTGTATTCAGTGCTCTATTTTCTCCGTCCTAGTAAGTCCAGGTATAGTGAAATTTGTGCCCATAATGACAAATAAGAACTTAAAAATTTGAAGTGGATATTCACATGTTAATGCCGACTCTTCAAATGTTGAGGTGATTTTGGAGCCCGGTTACGCCACAATGAGGATTGGCTCCCAGAATGCATATTGTGCTACATAAGTGATCGGGAATTATTTTTCTACGACTTGTTGGGACACAAGTTCTACAGTTTGAGACAACTTTTGATGGTTGAGCTTTATTTTTGTTCCCCACCAGTGTAACTTATTTCATATTTACAACAACTAGGGTCTACAGTGGGGGACAAAAATAAAACTCAACGTTCACAAGTTGTCACAATGAGCTTATTTCCAAGTTTTGAGTCTCAAACTCTCCCAAGCGGTAGAAAAATAATTCCCGTTTTCTAAAGTAGCACAATAAATGAATCCAAAGCTTCATACCTGCAAATAATGGATAAATCCCTACCAAATCGAATGAATGTTTTCATGAATCGCCATGTTTGTTATCCAAGGACGGTTGACTCCCAGAATGCAACATCAGTTAAGGTCTCATGGAAGTTAACAGGAAATGACAAAACAAAAAATGACAAAGCCATGCTGGATTTTGAAAATTTTTTGAACCAAGATAACAGAGTTCTGTTTGGACCTCCAGTCAGTTTAACTAGTTCCACATATCATTTACATGACCGGGAACACAATTGAAATGGTCAGAATGGAATGTACTAAAAACCCTTCGACCTACGACCCTTCGACCCTACGACTTACTGGGTGTCAAGAATTTTTGGAATATATTTTATTGAAAAACCCTTCTACCTCTGATTTCCCAGTCCAGTTTACTAAATGATTACGTATAGTTCCAACTTGAGCTCCCTGTGCACGCACATACGCATTTTACCTGGTAATTGTCTAGCAAAAATGTTTCAGTAGAAAAATTTCTAAAAAAGTTCGTCTACACAGCAAAAATACGAACGCCGAAAAAAAACTTACGCATTTCGTTCGGACTTTTCACGCGAATTACGTATATGTCACGCATTGCGTTCGAAATCTTTCGTCCCTACACCAACACCAACACCAACCCCACACACATTATTCAAATATGATGGTTATTAGACTTAGCAGAAATCTTGAGAACTCTAGAATCTCTGGTCATAAAATGAAATGTAACTATGACGATTTGAATATTTATGAATTAGGAAGGTTTGTACATGTCAAAACATTGTCACTTCAAAGAATTCATAATCTACTGCTAGCCTATCAATCAAAGGTATGAATAGTGCAGCTGAATTGCGGCAGGAATATAAGAATCGCGCTGAAAAACACTCTTTTCAAATTACGATATCTCTAGAAATATAAGACCAATCACTAAGTTTTATACACAATTAAAAAGCTTAATTCACCGATAATTTAAGAAATAATTTTCATGATTAATGGAGAAGTACTTTTCTCTATATTTGACCAGAAAGAACATGAATAACTGAAAATGAATGATTATCCTCTATGCCCGGCAGGCGGGAAATGAACAAACACACTAATTTAGACTAGGCAATGAGAATTAGCTTATTTGTTTTGCATCCCTTTGCTTGCAAGATCTTAAGCAAATCAGAAAACACAATCACTTCCAAATGGCAACCCAAGGGTCTGAAGGTACCATCGCATTTCGTTCAATCAGAATTGGAAATAGCGGACAATTTGATGTGCGTCAAAATTCTAAGTTGCTCTAACTGGGAAGAGTAATAGCAGGCCTGTCAACTGTCCCGCAATTTGCGTATTTGTCACGCATTTGCTGAAGAATTTGAAGTCACGCCAGTTTTTTTTGCGTGACACAAAATGTCACGCAAATACGCATTTTACCTGGTAATTGTCACGCAAATATGTTTCTGTAAAATTTTTTTCAAAATATGTTTATGATACGGTAAAAATACGAACGTCGGAAAAAAACGAACGCAATTTGTTCGGATTTGTCACGCGAATCCCGTATATGTCACGCATGTTCATTGGAAATTTTCGTACCTACCCCCCCCCCCCCCCCCCCCCCCCCCCCCCCCCCCCCCCCCCTGTTGACGACACCGCGAGCGTAGCGAGCGCGAAAAATTTGAGGTGATAAAAGTTTAGCAAAGGTGCTCAAACTTTGGCCAAAGGTGTTTAAAAGTTGGCCAAAGGTGTTCAAAATTTGGACAAAAGTGTTCAGATTTGGACTTCGGTGTCCAACATTTGTAAGTCACTCATATTAGGTGGTCCCAAGTTGACAGCCCTGTAATAGGCAATGGAGCGATTTTTGCATATATAATTTGTGAAAACTCATAAGCATGGGACACTATCTTATGACACTTTGGCAAGTAGGCAGCCATTTTGAAAAATGGCTTCTAACTTAGTGTGTGTTATTTTGCATATTAACTCGAAAAGTAGTGGACCTATTTTTTCACATTTGATATGTTGATACTCATAAGCATGGCACATTGGCCAGGTGGCCATTTTGAAAAGTGGCCTCTATTTTAAAGTCTAATTTTACTTTTTTACTAAAACTTGAAAAGTATAGTTGAACGATTTTGAGATCAAAAGTTCGATGGGATTTGCTCCACCTCGCGTTGCTGTTATCTAGTTCTAAAATGTTTCATATGTCTAATAAATATAGTTGTATAGATGTGTTTGTAATAACCTTTATATGCCCTTAAAATGTATATATTCAGGGGGGGGGACATTCGTGGGTTCAAGTGGACCACTCCATTGGCCAAATATTCTCTCAAAACCAGTACAATTTTTCACGATTCTGAGCATTTTCAAGATTTCTGGGCCACTTGAAAATTGTCAAATGTTCACCCCTTGATCCTTTTGAAAAACTTAAATTGGCAAAAGCTGGTTATACGAACCTGATATGA